ACGTCACACGTTTAAAATGACTGCACACAGGTTCCAAGTTTTTGAAAGGCAAATGTCGAAAAAGTTGACAAAAAAGTCGGTCTGTTTAAAACGGGCCTAAAAGTGACGTTTATTAGTACAACGTGACATGGTAGCGACGAGGTCGAGTTCGTGAATGAAATGATTGTTGATCATGGGAGATTGTAATTGTACAACGTGACATGGTAGCGACGAGGTCGAGGAGTTCGTGAATGAAACGATTGTTGATCATAGGAGATTGTAATTGTAGTAAGATCCCAAGGTGTTGCGAGCCCACCAGGCTCACGCCCAACTATCCCTCAACATCTCAATTCAGAAGGTAAGCTGTGAAGAGAACAAGACTGAAAACAAGCACAAGCCCCAGAAGCGGCATTTAGCAACAAGATCGACTTCGGTCACTGCTTCAACAGACTTCGGTCTGAACATCACTCCAGACTTCCTGCCTGGAACTGCAAGGCTTCACCGCCTGCAGACGACCCTCGGGTAAAGGGCACCTCGACACCACACATTTCTGGATACTTCAACCTCGAATCAGGGATGAGTGCACTCCAAACGACTCGTAGCCTCGTTCACATTTGCCACCGAAACGATCGTAACTCCGACATTGGTCTCAACACCATCAAAGCGGTGTAGTGGGATCCCTGAACTGTCATGACTGAGCGAATGACGGTTCGGACCTCGAGGGGGATGGAGGCCGCACGTGATCAGGTGTTGGCGGGAGCCCTACCTGTTGGTAGTATGTTGAGAGGTGCACGAAGAACGAGACACGAAAAGGTTTGGCAAACGAGGGAGGAATATTGACTACTTTTTCGCTCATCGATGCCCAGGTATGCAGCCAAAATGCATGTGCTACATCGATTGATGACAAGACCATCCCCGTATCGCACGAAGACTAGGATGTCTGGTTAACACATCTCAAGTATCCGACATTCTGTCTTCATCCTTGATTGTTTTCTGTCCCCAACGGAGGCAGTAGTGCCATTAGCCACCTTCTCTTTGGGTATCGCAGTTTCACTTTTGACCGTCAGCACATCTTACCTCCTGTGGAGTCGGTGGAGAGACTCCTCCGAGCCTTGCCAGAAACCTAGCCCATTCAAACACCTGGGTTTCAGAAGAGTGGAAAAGGAGAGTAGGGAGCCGCAGTCAAGCCTCCTGTACGTCCAAAATGGGTAGTCTAGAGATTGATTGGACTAAGACGAAATCCCGCAATTCAAACATTTCTTTCAGATGTTGGTGTTTCTACATGCAGGCTAGACCATGCGTCGCATGTGTTATTCGGTACTGCTTTACATGCACCAAGGTATGCATGCATTCTTTGTGGGGATGAACATCACACGTTGTTGCAGCACACATCCTAGGCACAACCTGCATGTAGCAACGGCGGAGGACAGGCTGCCACGCCATTCACATAGTTCGCTTCTTGAACTTTACTCCGCTCGACCGTTACGCAATAAACAACATATTCGCCTGATTGAGAGCGAAGTATCTGATTGAGAGCGAGAGCCAAAAAAATTGAAATTTCGGGTCCAGACGCCTCTTGCCATTTCTTGGCAAGTAGGGGACGGGCTATTCCAAGAAGCGGTGCAAATTGAAGGTCTCATCAGCAGCTTCGCGAGCATATGCGTGTCATCGTCATCGGATGCTGCAGCGAGGAGCTAGACAAGTTGCTAGATTTGCCCAGATTGGCTATTTCTGCTCAAACTGTTTCAGGGCGGTATCGCGTCGGGCGGTGGGCTCTGCTGTAGCTTCTGCTCCCCGCTGTAGCTCCACAACGAGAGACTCCCACAGGATGACCAGGGTAGCGGCTTGAAGCTACGGGCTAGCCCTTCAATTCAAGCTACACAGCAAGCTCCACCTCTCAGTGGTAGTCCGGCTACAGCGTATCGCGCAATCTCGCTCTCAATCAGATGCTACGCTCTCAATCAGGCGAATATGTTGTTAATATTGACCTGCAATATACTGGCTAAAACGAACTATCCGCCTATTACTTCCCGCTATACCGTGTCGACTTGGGCGATGGACATATTCCAAACTCGCTCTGGTAACACAACATGTATTGCAGCCCTTGCCACGGGGGTGATTTTGAGTGCCCTTTCATAGAAGAAAACTTTCGAAAGTCTAGGCCAGTTACCTCGTCCCTCCTCTCCCAGATGACCCACTGCCTCTGGTCAATTACATCGATGATAAGCTTGCGAAATCCGAAGTCCCGACCGAGCTTCGTAGCAAGTTGCACGTAGCTGAAAGACAGAATGTGCATCAAAGCGAAGGATCATTGGGCGAAAAAAACGGTGTCGACAAAGTGGCAAACACGAGTGTGCGAACAAGTAAGTGTGGCTGACACCTCGACCGTTCATTACTCCCACAAACACCGACGAAAAACATTGCTTGTTGAGGGGTTTCTCGCGCTCAAACGAATAAAATTCGTCTGTGGCTTCGTATCGGTATTCGCTAGGTGGCATCGCGGGTGACTGAATGGGATTTTTGAGAGTTTCCGATGATACCTAGACTGTGCAGCAAAGTAGACCCGAAGTGCGTTTCCGCAATCGAGTTGTAGGCAATGAACCTTTGGGAAGCGTGACAAGCCGCACGGATCTTGGGCAGACAATAGCGGCGTGTCTTAGAGACCACACTGCTTGGAAAACGTTTTGGATTCCAACCGAAATGGCGCGCGAGCTCGAACGGTGCGGTGCGGTTCTACGAAGTACGATGCGATTCGTCTCCACTTTGATAGCATGGTGCGATGTAATCCTCTTGCAATGATCCACGAGCAAAACGAAATGCTTGACCAAGGGGCAATGGATTCGCAACTCATTTCCTCCGATGTACATGCATCACGACAATGACGCCCTGAATGCCACGTGTCACCTAGCAACGTCCGTGGCGACGCAGCACACGTGTTGCATGCCCATGGTCTTGTAGAAGCTCTGTGCCATGCGTCCGGCCACGTACTTTCCAGCCATGGACACTGTTGGCACCTAGATCAGAGGTGTCGCGCAGAGATACATTTGTTGATGTGCAATAGAAAGGTAGGCTTGCTTGTTGATCGCTAAGGACCACGGATGTGTATGCTTCACCAACAAGCATATCTCCTACACACCTTCTAGTTCGTGATGCAGCCAACTTTTTCGAACCTCTGAGCTAACTCTTCGGACAAGCATGTTCTGCGATAGAACAAACTGAGCTTTCGAGAAAGAGCCAATTGGCTTGAGGACCTTTCGCTCTGGTGGACTACCCTTGGGTGTTCGTGGAACATGGGGCTTTGTGGAGTGTAGCACTCCTACTCGGACGTACGATACTACTGGTCGTCTTGCTGGACACCGCGTGCAACGATTTTTCGAGCTGGGCTGCTCAAACTCACCCCAACAGCGAGTGCATCAGCCGATGTCTTCGAGCCGCCGAAAGGGAAGGGATGGAGCATGACGTCGGCCGATGCGAGCAGGGAAGAAAACGCTGCACCAGATACTGTTCGTGGTACAAAGAACACCTGCGTATTGTACAGCCAAACAGGCAAGCAGACACGCGCGTTGAGGATACCCCGCACAAGGTCGTACACCACAGAACCATAGGTCACGTTTTTTGGAGTGCAGCCCTCCACGACTATGAACTACCTTGCCAGAACAAATGGAAAATCAGGTTTCACACGACATTTGCGTGTCCGACACCTTACGCATGCTGTTATGTTATCTCGTGGCCCCCTCGTGCAAAGCGCGGGGGTACCATTCAGGCTGGCAGAGAGATAGGTGGTTAGAGAAAAGTATTAAAATAATAGGAGGGAAAGATGACGGGCAGCTGAGCGCACACGGTTAATGCTGACGTGGTGTTGTGGAATCTCGTCATGTTCGAGGGGACTTTTGTAGCGGCCGAAAACTTTAGGCCCGCACGAATCTACACCACGCTATGACCTGCTTTTTAGTTCTTCAGGCGCACAAGCGTGCTCACACAGTCTGCTAAGCATACGATGCACCGCCACTGTTGTGAAAGATCGAATAAAGTATTTCGCGCCGAACGGGGATGTATGGTAACTACATCTCACCCTCGTCATAAGATCATCTCCGAGCGTCGAATTTAGCCTCGCATGAAAAATCGATGTCCATTGTTGCCGCCTACCCGCTGTGAAAACCAGGTGATTCGAACCTGATGCTTCTAGCACGCCCTTAACCGCTAAGTCGAAGTCGGGATGCAGCTTGAACAAACTCTGAGCGCACATGTACACCACGCTGGACCGAAGAGTGAAGTTGACATGCGAGGGAGGGCGAAACTGGCGTGCTTAATTGTCATTTTGCCTAGGGCCTCGGTGTTCACCTTTAATCACGGATCTCAGTTAGAAGTTAGAACATTCATCTAACCTATAGGGGAGCGCGAAAGGAGGTTTGCGGAGTTGGTCCGTTGGGATAGTTCATTTCACCTGTTTGAGTTCTTGTCGCTCTGCCATACGTTCACGAAGGAAAGAAACGAAGAAAACAAGCGACAGGGAGGTTTCATCATATCTTCTGGAATCACGGCCTTGTCCAGGCAGCGAACTGTATGTACCAGCGTTGTAGCTTGCTGCGATTTTCCAGCTTGGTGTGTTGTATTTGACACAACGGTTGACCTACATAAGTTACTGTTCCTTGCTTGTCAGCCTTGTACACGCACTTCAGGCACGCTTTTCACGTTGCGACCAGCACCCAGACCCCAAACACTCGAAACGAGAAATGCATGCTCATTGAGACACCGTTCAGTTGGCCATTGGCCCTGGCATGAAGAGTACCCGTGTGTGATACGATCTTGGAGTGACTGTTAAGCTCTCGTTTGAAGGTCGCCACATTTTGTTTGAAATTAATCCTGCCATAGTTCTTAGATCGCCCGAGTTGGTTTTCCCTTGAAGGCTGCTGCAGCCAAGTCGCGGAAGGCCGTTGATGTTTGCCGGGTGGTAATAATCGACCGCGTTGCATCGACTAGAAAAATCAACAATAGTAGTCAATCGGAATCGTTGTTGCCGACACCAGGCTCCGTGGTTACCATGGTTAAGTTTCATGCGGGTGAAGAGGAGAAATCCTAGGGTACCGCAAAAGTAGGTTAGCCCTTGCCACAATTACGGGCGTCTTTCCACGTAAACCTGGCCCGACATCACCGCGTTTGCTCGGGAGGATTGGGGTTCGACTGTTGCGAAACGTGCATAGCACCCACTGACTTCACTTCGTCCCATACCTGTTTTGGCCGATCCCGAACCGGTTCTTCAGCTCGGCACGAAGGGCCGATCTGGCCCGCTCTCTCGACGCACGCGTTGAGGCAGCGTGGTACGTCTCGAGAGCCCGTTCGCTTGCTGGTCCACCCCATGACGACCCCATCTCCCCTGCTGACCCCCCCCCCTTCGCCGTGATAGTGTCATGCGCAGCAGACCAGGACGCCGTCTCTGGCGCCAGTATTGGGACTTGCGGCGTTTGTAACACTCCCGTGGTGCTCGCAGTGTAGCTAGTTGTTTGGGGTCTTGGTGGTGGGGCCAGTTCCGACGGGAGAACAGGAGCAGGATACCAAATACCTTGTCCACCGAATAGCACCACCTGTGAATCACGGCAGGGTTCGTCGACCAAGGGGATGACGGAAGAAAGGAGTTCATGGGCAAACGGGACCCTCTGCGGCATGCCACGCGGTAGAGCGCATTGTATTCTGGGCACTCTGCGCGACGTCCGTCAACGTTTAGTCAATAAGAGTCGGCGAACACGTGTTCAGCGAAAGGGTTATATTGCTGGTCGGTGCAGGATTTTCAACCCCAACACGGCCCCGCACGGCCCCCACGTCATCCTGACTGAAATAAGCCGCAAAAAAATTAAGAGGTGCGGCCAAAACTTTCGATACCGAGACAACGCACGTACCAACCCTGTTTTTTGGCATTGCGGAATGACGTCGTTTAAGTCGTCATCCAACCGCGAGAGGATGTGAGCTTCAACCCGCGATAAAACCTGTTGTAGAAATGATTGAGCGTTCCCCATCCTCTAAGAAAATCCGTGGCTATTCCTTCTGGCGGTGAAACATCAGAATCTTCTGTGCGCGGCAAACAAGGGCTTCCCGAAATAAGGCATGCTACTGGTAGACACCCACCAGTTTCTCAATGTCGGCGTCTCTGGAAATTCTACTGCACCACGAAAAACAATGACCGTCCGAGGCTGTCATCGCTGGATATGATCACAAAGGAATCACTCCTGCCTCGCAATAAAATGTTGAAGACAGCTAGCGCCCCATTTACACGATTCACACAACACGTCGGGGCACTACGCTCAGCGCAGTGCCTGGCGGCCTAGTTGGAGACTAAGCGACACCCCTCGTGCCGTATCCACAAGGATGAAAGGGTCTTGGGCCCCACGAGACAAAAACAGACCCTTCGCCACCTCTTATCGCGTCCAATACTAACATATCGTACCTGTTCGGAATAGGGATCGTCGTCAGGCAGCATTGTAGTTCGGTCGGGGTGCTCCATTGCATCGGCAGAGAGGAAGTAGTCGATGTTGGGGCTCCCTGGTTCCGAGGTATGTTGCAGGCAAACGAGCTTGGGTATTCACTGAACCAAATCCGAGGGCACGAAGTATGTCGAAGAACGCTCACCTGCCCGCGGTGAAGTTGAACTCATCTCTCCTCCGAGATTCATAGAAAGGGACTTTTCACGACCATGTCCAGGTGAGTGAGGGGGGATCTCTCTGGCAGGCGAAATGTTGGACCCATGACTCCAGGAACCGCAGGGGGAGTCATGTACGTATCCATTTCTACGGAATCTCAGATCTCTACCTTTCGCGAGGAAGTATACGCGTCCACGGTACTGCAGCGGTGGAACTCGCGATGTTTGTGTCCAACAACTCAATTGGGAACGTTGCTCCCAGCACGTTTTTTTCACACCAGATGAGGAGAGAGACAGGCGGTAGTCGAGTTCGTGCCTTACGTTGCGTCTGAAACCCCATGGAATCCTATCTGACATCCTGTGGGACCAACCAGCCCAGGCGGCAGCTCTTTTCTAGTGCCGCGGGATGTCACGGTAATCGGTGAAACCTACGTACATAGGCTACCAAAGAACTCCCATGATGCCTCACCAGACCAGTTTCGCATGTGGGTAATTCTCACGGACATTAATCTCGGAGGTTCCACACGGGAACCCCCATAATCTGGTGTAGACAAGTAGGAGTGTCCCTAGTTAAAAATGGGATACTTATGCATATTTCTGGCCCCAAATCATGAACAATCGGGCCACACAGCTCCCATGGCATCTCGTCATGGGACTCTACCATGGGGTCCCATGTCACTTCGCTTACCTCGTGTAAGATAGGAACCCTATCACGCTGGTGACGTTTCCGAGACTTCGTACTACAGTATAATGTTTGATGAACGGCCACAGTGAGCTCTTCGCGAAGGCATGTAGACTAGTACTCTAGTTGTATAATGCAATCATCATCAAAAGAAGAAACATGATAGGCGAAGCCGCCGCATCATCAGGCCCGATTCGCATCAGGACCAGTTAAATCACCAAACGCTCGGTGTCGTGGCGCCTATGAACGGGACATCGGCGATTGCGCGAGAGAAATCTTGAAGGCAGTAGATTCGATGACGATACTGGTTTCTCACAAGTGCGTGGGAAGCACTCACCGGTAGTGATTGGGGTGCCCCAGAATGCGGCCTGTATCGGGGCCACACGGCCCAGCGCCAGAAAGTGAGATACCGGCTCGCAGGTTGTGTCCGCAAAAATGAGCACATCGAGCCTGTAACGCAGACATTACCGTGTATAGCTTCGTACGGAAGGGCGTGGCACGGCGATTCTGCCAAAGATGCGGACCAAGATCTCACGGAAAGCTATCTGGACCTGAATATCACCTTCCTGTTCCGTTGACCATTCCGCGTGTTTACGGGAAGGAACCCGGCGCAGAACTTGTATCAAGCTGACTATTCCAAATGTTCTTAGTTCGACGCACAGCTTCAGCGCACCTTCTAACAAGCGCACGACTGTTGTGCGACACGCAGCATCTAGGGCAACCTGGGCCGCAAACATTGAACCCTTCATGTCTCCTTGTTGTTGACATAGGTGTCCAAGAGCTTATAACCATCCCTGTTGGTCTGTTGTGGTTTCTGCCGTGGTGCAGTACGCCTTACGGCACACATTTTCGCCTTCCAACTCGATTTGTTACGAGTTCCCGAACGAATCAGGCAAGCTCCCCGAGAGCAACGAAAGGCAACAGCAAACAGTTTTACCCTTTTCTGCCTCTTGGCATACTCACTTCAATTCCTCCAGGGCCATCCTAGCCCCAGCCACTGTGTTTGACAAGGTCACTACTTCGTCTGCGCCAGCTCTCAGACTAGACGATGGCTGTCCTCCAATCGCACAAACAGTGACACGAAAACGCGGTCTCGGGAGGTGTAAAATCACGCCCTCCAGCAGCATGCCGTGAGGCTCCTGCGGTGGTACGGCCGGCGCAGTAGAAAAAATGTCAACTCGATGAAACACCCAGAGAGTTGAGCAAAGCAAAATGCCAGTTCTGGCTGACGGCAGTTCATCAAGGAGCCCAACCGCTTCGCCTCACGCGTCTCCTCTTTCCTGCGTATGCATGCTTCGGTAAGTAATACTTCGAAGTAAACATAACTCGTAAATGAACAATTCCGAACGTTTTCGCTGCGTAAGGTGTCTATCGCAGGTGCCAAACATTCTGAGCAGCTCACGGTAACCTAGATTACCCTTAACATAACAATGGGCGAGTTTGGGCATAAAAAAAAGTCGACGGAAGCACAAAAACATTCTGTCGTTCCTCACCATTTCCCCAAAGAGCTTCGAAATAAAACCGACATGAATGGGACGGACAACGTCCTGGTGTTGCTTGTTGAGTCCAAAACCGGGGCTGCTGCGTTGGTGATTATTTCCACTGTCGTATGGCCGGCCTGCAGAACGCAAACGCCACGCTGTGCTCCGCTCCTCTTCTGCATGAAGGCCATCCGCCACGGCCAGCAGACTTGGGGCGATTGCTGCATGCATTCTGCGTCGCGGCAGCAAAGCAGACAACGGGATGGATCACTGAGTACGACATGCGTGCGGTAGCACTGCTGTGGTAGGAATAGAGGGGCACCTAGAAGCCTCCTGCAGAAAACGTTTTTGTGTGGACCAAATAATTAATGTTATTCATGGGGGTGTTCCATAAGGAGCTGACTTCTGGTGTAGGTATCAGGTTGTTCTCCACGTAATGGCCAGGAAACGTTGGGGGATTATTGAAGTGCTCGTTTTAACCCTTTTGATGTAGGCTATCTGTTGGAGAAAAACAATCTTTGACGAGAGTGTATTCTTTGGGGTTACGACTCTAGCTGTTTTCAGTTTGTAGGATGAATCGGTGCGCTATGTACCCATGCGCCTATACCACCTGTGGCAATACTCCGGGGACGGAACGAACTTGTAGGTGTCTAGGAAGTGTGTCAATTTATACGATGACGCCACATAGAGGTTGTCGTCACGTGGTGACAACAAACTGCACACGCCTGAACTCCTTTCCGCACGAAAGGTATGAGGGCGTGCGCACGCGCCTCCCCACGCGAGCAAATTACTACTGTATCGGGTATCGGCAGCCACTGAATCAACCAGGTGGGCACCAGTTCACAGTGGGGCTGATACCACGGAAGGTTTTTCTATCAAAGCGCAAAATTACCTAGGCGCACGTAGGAAACTCATGGCTCCGATGTCTATCCCGATCTCGACAGCAGAACCCTTGTCACCACCCCTCTTTGGACGAGAGTGAACAGTTTGGTCTCATGACGCAAAGACCACTTTTCGACAGCCAGAGAATTGAGCTCGCTACACGGTAACAAGCAAGGACAAATAATCGATTATTGACAACATGGCAAACCTTGGATCACCGCCCTCGAAGTTGCTTGTGGTGGGTTAAAACTAGGGTGAAGGTCAGTAGGAACTGGTTTTGGGTAACGATGACCGACCTCACCTGGCTATGGCCTCCATCGTCTTCCTCTGGTTGTTCCCCGCGTATGCAACCAGGAAAGGTGCCCGTTCGAGCTCCTTCCCGGGGGAAGCTACGGATAGCAGGCCTCTTCGCTGAAGGTCCGTCAGCCGAAGGACCTGGTATGATTTCCACCGCAGGCCGATTGCGTCGGCATTAGGCATATGCCTACAACCGTGTCCGGCACGATACGTCCCACTACAAGATAAACAACGCTGTAGACCACGTTACATTAGTTCACGTGTGCTATCAAAGTAGTTGATTTACGTTTCGGTGGACCCGTGGTGATGAAACTATTAATGCTAAATTCGTTGTGTTTTCTATGGTTATTGCTTCTGCTGCATGCGATGACGTCCTCTCAAAGTTGTATGAAACGTCGTTGAAAACGTAGCAGGGTCATCATACACGGACCTCTTGGAGGACACTAGCCCGTTCTTCGAGCAGTCTTTCCGTGCTAGCGGCCACCGGGGACATCATGAGGGCCATTCGAATCAACACACCGCCGTCTCCGGTGAGGTCGTACGCCCTATGAGTAAGTAAGCCCGGCAGCAGCAAGTATAGAACACCATCAATACAGAAGTACTGCCAACGCTGTTGCTGTCCCAACAGTAGTGTCACGAGGCAAGTCACTACAGCGTCTCCTGCATCTAAACGTGACTGTTTTAACCTGTTCGAACCTATTACCCCTCCCGCGAACACGTAAAGATCTCGAGCCAGCTGGTGCTCGACGAGCCAAGTCGGAAGACACCACCGAACGCAATACTACCGTGCCATGGTGTGTTGTTTGATCCGTAGGGTAAGGCAATGAGCATGTGCAGTGGTTTTTCCTGGTACATGGTTTCGTTGCGTCGTTGTGGATTCGACCAAGCTGGCGGCAATTCATCGGAACATTGCGGCAAGAGTCAAGAGAACCAGACACGCATGTCAAAACACTGATGCTGGACAAGTCCCATTACTGGTGCTTGCTAAGATCGAAGCCCCACTTCACGAGACTAATAGGGACAACTTGCCTTGAGTACAGCTCCCGTGCCTTGACAAGGTCCCCGCTTTCCGACCTCTGAAGCGCGGCGTTCATCAGGGGTCCTGGGGTTGCCGGGTCTAACGCTAAGGCCTGTTTTGATTCACCGAACGGACGTGCAAACACATCCAGCCATTTATCGACAGACCATTTCGGGATTTGGACTTGCGATGGGCATCGCTGTTGCTGTTGCTGTCGGTATCGTGGTCGAAATCATATTCAATACCGTCTTGATCTCCCGCACGAGACGGCCATACCAATGGTTAGATGAGAACGTAGAACAGGATCTCTTTGGGTCCCCCAGCAGTGTAGTGATAGACTCGCCTGGTCAAGGTACTCCAGACCCTCTCCATCCCGCCCCATGGATAGCAAAATTGCACCCAGGTTGTTGAGAACAATGCCCGATGGAGGGTGCTGTTTTCTGGAGCAAATCACAGCAGTGCACGACCAGGGAGGGTAATCATGTCATCGTTGGCCACGGTCCTGATTATGGCGACTCATGCGCCAAACAACGCCAGGGAGGAGCATGTCACGTCGCTGACTCGATAGGTAGGCAGTGCATCAAAACGCAGATAGCCACGAGGTGCTCCATTCCGTTGGTGGGATCATACCTAGACACCGTGCTCTCAGCTGAGAGAGCGAGCCACGTGATATTTTCACAGGACAGGCGATTCGAATTCGTGGCCGGATTAGGAGAGCATCAACTTACTATGTAACGTGGGGAGGAAACCAAATATACGTGGAATGGCTCAATGACGTGGCCGTCACAAACACAAAACATCCCAACACAGCACGTCTCCCCATTACTTGCCTTAAAATGGTCTGATACGCAGCCACAGCAGCGTCTTTATCTCCGGTGTCGGCAGCAATCCCCGCTAGATTTATTAAGGCGTGTTCTCTTACCAAGTTCCATTGTGGATACGCAGATCCGTCAGTGATTTCCAGAACCTGAAAGGTTGTTGTCGGAAAGTACATGTTGCACCCTGATCTGGCTGCAGGCTTCGTGCTTTCTGGCCTTCCGGAGCAAACCACATGCGAAGAAATTCTGCATTGTACACTCAACACAATCGCAACTACGTACTGTATATCTTTTGTGGTGATCAACGTGCTCAAATATTCGATCGAGAATTAGAGGGTATGCCTTTCATCGGAGGTTATAGCTTTGAAATCACGACCATTTGGAGTACCATTTCGTCAAGCGTCAAACGTGACTCGTCATGTTCCAAATGCCGTGGGGGGATGGGATAGTGGTAGGTTGGGTTTCCTTGCTTCCTTTGCTCGCTCGTTCCAATTCAACAGTGCACCAACAAAAGCCCTACACACCGTCGACCAGCGTATCTGCCCTACGCTCGTAAGGGATCGAAACGTGTGAATGCGCACTTTTCATGAGTGATGTTGTCCTGGGGTTCGAATACACCATGGAGATATGTACCCATTTAGCGACTCTCTTCTCCGAGCGAGCCTGGTTCTACCAGTTCCCCGCAACCGGTGTGTCTAGAACGAAAGCACTTATTGCACAGCTGACCTGTTTGAGGACTTCTGTTGCCTCGTTCGCTCGCCCGGATTCCATCAGAGCACGCCCCAGCTCTTGAGCTGTGCTCGGGCACCCGGGATTCAGACGTACCTGCCCGTGTTCAATTATTCAACAACGCACGACGGTCAATGATGACTACTGCTGTTGACATGATCGGCGGGAAAATCACCGTCATTCCGCTTGGGGATCGTCTTTGTACCTGGTTGAGGAAAACTTGTGTATGAAGGTAGGTCTATGGTACATTTTATTGTGCCTCGTACGATCATCTTCTTGCTTGTTTTCTCGACACCGGAGAGGGAGTCGATACACCAAAGGGCGGTCGTAAGCTAATGTGAGGGAAATGATGTGTATCAGTATGTCGTTCACTGCCGAAACATTTACCTGGACAAATCACGTCTCCCGCCGCGCGAAAGTGGAGAGCTTTCCGTGAAACCGCCAGTAGACTCTACTCGAAAACGTTTTGCGAACACTTTTCACCATATCGGCCCAAGATTATGATTTTGGTAGTGTGAAAATCTGAGTGCTACCTACGTTGAATACGAATTAAGCGAGCGTACCGCTTTCTCCATCCAGTACACGGCTGCCGCCAAGTCACTGCGGGTCCTCGCAAATAGCCCCAGCTGCATTGTCGCCCGACGTGTCTGTGGCATGTGACATGCGAGGGATGTACGAGAGGAGGCATGCAGTACTAGAGATATCGATCCGCATTGACAGTCATGCAGAAGAACCGCATGAAAAAACACCGAGCAGAAGCGGTTTTAATTTTGCACTCGTTGTAGTTCATGATGTTGGGTGCAATTGCTTACTTCGCACGAGCAACAAGCCAACAAAGCGCACTTGCCACCCAACGTAAACGTACTTTGCGCAGGTCCAGCCCCACCAGGGTTTCCCGGAGTTGTTGCTGTGCAACACTTTGCGCACACCCTGCTCACATTTTCGCCCTAAGGGCCTGAGGAAACGCTCCATCAAGCCCGGACACTAGTGTCGGCGATGACTATTATTGTCAAAACAATGCGTCGATCCCTTTTTACGCACTCACCAGGGAGTCCACGGTGCCAGCAACATCCGCGACGATCCCGCGCAGCAATTCCTCCACTTCGTCGTCGTAGCGCCGGCGGTTATGTGGACGTCCTTCGTGCAGTACGGACGTCAACAAGCAGGAGTTATCGCAGAGAAAAATGGCGATAAGTCGCCCACCTCGCAGGCTCGATGTGCGTCCAAATGAAGGGCCTTGCCAAGAACTTCTTGGCGAGTATACTGACACACGTAAGAGGTTGAAAAGAGCCTGAACACCACTATGAAGCACACAAGAGCCTGAAGACCGAATTGTGCGGCTCTGCACCCTGTATGGCTTGAAGATGCGTGCGGTCGTGGCTTGGTATGAGAGGTTCAATCGTTTGTGCCAGAGAGCGAGAGACGGTGCCCGCTGCACGAGCGGAACAATTAATATGCCCCACACCCAGGACGCTTTAACCTCCGGTGATGCCAACGCTCATACTTGCTCCTGTCCCCAGAATCATTGTGTTTATTGTATTTTTCCGAAGTGTCATTTTTATTATTGTTTTTCCACGAAGTCTGGAAGGTAACTCTCTGGCCAATAACAAAGGGACGACACCAGTCGCTTCCCTCTCCCCTCCAGAGTCCAAGTTCCCTTCCATGTCAACTGGCAGGTCCAAACAAAATGCCGTCTCAGTACACCGAGACCCCCCAATGGTACTCCATACCATTGGTATCCACC